AGCGTCCTCTCATCTGGAAATGCAAGTGTTTGAGAATATATTCGGTTCATTAAAAAAAACCACAGCCTACCATGTCCATTCCTTTGTACCGCAAAGTTCGCATCAGCACAATGGCATGGGGAGCCGCTATTTGATCAGTGCCTTCTTCCTTTCCTATCTGCTCATCGCAAGCTGCCAAAAATTCCTCTGCCACCACTCCTGCTACAACTCGATCCAGGCAAGCTGGAAATGCTGTTTTGAGGTGTTGTTGGAACATCTAATTACCACTTCAGTAACAAATATTACAAGCAACCAGTTTACGCGACATTCACAAAATCACCGGCAGGTGAGATCAATTTATTAAGCAAGATTGGCTCCAAGACAGAAGAAATTGTGGAAACTCTTCAACCCTGATCGCAGAGAGAACCTTTGTACGCACCTGTTTCCATCTGCCACACGAAAACGCTTCCGTCTTCAAGACGCACCAACATGAAGTCATCGAGTGGCCGCCATTTCACTAGATTGACTGGATATGGATGTCGAGAGGCGAACAAAACACACTTCATATCGCGGATATTGAGCAGGCTTACACTGTGATCAGAGGCAATTGCACATATGCACTTGCTCACCTGCTTCTGCAAAATCAGTCATGTGAATTTTCGTTAGCTAGACTTCACAGATAAGAAATCACAAGATTTAGCTCTGGCTGATGTATATTTTTTCACGAAAAGAAACACACGCTCGTATTCGATGGAGGAACCAGAAAACGAAGAATGGGGCCACCGTGCACGACAAAGCGATGCAGCCGTTCCGCTGTACTGATGTTCCACACAATTACTGCAAAATCGTCTGCACCAGATATCAAGACCTCTGGATCGTATCGTGGATGATGTTCGTGAGGATAGAAGAGATTGCTGAAAGCAATGTGTTAGAATAACTCACCAAGAAGTATGGTAGCTCCGAGCTACCCTTTTCAGCAGAACCATCAAACGATGGCAAGTCGCTGAGCTAAACTAGCTACAGAGAAATTCCAACACTTGGGTACTATGGTTCGGCCATACTAGAAGGCCAATAGTTCCTAACCATTGCTAGTGTTCAGACCAATTCTACGAAAATACGCATTGGCGTATTGGCGTGTGCCTATTGCATAAGAAATTATGGGTAAAATAACAACAATAGAATCTACCGATTCTCCCCTTACCTTACTGCTCCTTTATGTCCATCCAGTCGACGTATGGCGGGTTTCTCCAAAGTGACATTGAGCAGTTGTCTAGCTAGAGTCTCGCATGCATAGGTCATTACGATGAGGCCATCCGATCTTCCAATTATAAGTTTGCCTTGACCGCTCACGAATAATGAACACGTGATCTCACCGAAATCCTTAAGGGATCAGTGAGTCATTACAAAAAAAACGTGGAAATTAGAAGTCGTGCAAACCAGCACTCCCATGGACGATTCCTGTTTACTGTTCAGATTCATCCATACTGACGACAAGGTTTCCTCATAACTGCCTCTGTATTCTGAATAGTTACACGATTTCCAAAACCTTCTTGTTCGTAATAACAATCATAGAAACTCACTCAAAGGAAATTGTGTTGGTGAAGTGAACTTTTCATAAACTTTTTCGTCGAAGCGCGGAATTCTCCATATCAGTAAGTGCCCTGCTCGTGTGGCACGAGCAGCTTGGAATATAGACTGATCACTTCGTTGTGAAGCGAAAGTGAAAGTGACATCATTCAACCACTATAAAACTCGACGCACCTTCTTTGTTAACAAGTGACACGCTGTTATTCATCACAGTGAAAGACAACAGCCGAAAAAAAAATTGGACACGAAAAATCACCGAGCGTAGATTCGATTTAGATCCTTCCCATATTGCAAATTCGAATGGATCTGATATCCCCATGTAGTTCCTTGGAGTAGCACCAAAGCGCTGACGAGCCTGGGCACCCTCCAGTTTTCTACAAGCGAATCTTTGAGACCTTTAGATAGCGAAAGTTCAGGGGTAGAAGTAAAAGCAAAAGAGAAAATCAAGCCAAGCAGCAGAAAATAAATAAAACAACATTAATTACTCGAGCGGAAGTTGATAAACTCTGAGCGTCTGATCCACAAATGTCACGGCTAACTTGTCAACATCCAAAATTTTTCCATTAATAGCCCTTGCTGGGCAATTGTGAACAATAATAATAGATAAATCATCGAGATCGACCAACTGAACAAATCAACTTTTGATGAACATTACGAAAGCTCACAGCTAATACGTAATCACGCAATACCTGCCAAGTTGCCGAACAAACAACAAGAAGAAGTCGCTCATTGACGGGATTGAACGAGATCGATTTAACATCTTTCAGTTCGAGCCTTTTAGATTCATCTTCGTACAGAGGTGTTGCAAGATCCTAGAAGAACACTACTTTTCGGCACTACAAATCAACGTTGTTTAAGACAAATTTCAAGGTGATTTACACGACGAGAAAAGAAGCCACTAAAAGCAAAGAAAACAAATTTGAAACGGTCTATTTTCACAAAAATAAGACATATAAAGAAGATAACAATGGAAAAATAACTATAAAACACCTTCTTCTCCAGCTCCACCAATGACCACACCTTGATCATCCCCGCCATTGAAATACCGATGCACTGCTCTGACTTGTTCGTTCTTTGCACAACATCGTAGCAGCAAACCCAGTCAGGTTCCACCCTTCAATTTGTTACCATTGACAGACAGGTCGATGCATGAAACAGCTACCGAATCAACTAACCTCGAACTGAGCTGGAAGACAACTGTGAGATCTTGCGGGTCTAAGACAACAATGTCGCTGTAGTCGCCAATGCAAAATAGGCGTGTTGATCTGGTATGTCGGGAAGACTTGTAAGTCTAAAGTGGAAACAGCAGACAAGGAAACACTACCAGTAAGCAGATATCAGTCTGCAATACTAAAATCGCACCACTAACATAAGGCTGCATATAACGGTGAATAAATAAAGACGAAACTGAGTCAACGCAACGACCGTCTTGAACATCCCATAAGCAAAGATGGCCATCAGAAGACGCAGTAATGAATCGCCTAAAATTTCGCGATGGTGAATTATTAATTATTACAATTGATAGCATTCTAGGGCAAAAAGAAGCACCCAGAGGTTTAGTTTGGAGCAAAAATGCCTCGCAGCGTCTTAGGGCGCTTTCATAGTTTGGGTCCGTGCTGTCCGTGCGGTCCGCGCGGAACGCAAACTATGGAAGCAGCCTTAGAGTTTCTGAAAAAACATGAGTGAGGAAAATGGCTCTAGGTGCCTTGGAGAGAGAGCGAAGAGGGAGCACGCACGCTGAGTGAGTGTTTCAGGGTCACAGTGACCATCATTCTTTAGAGGCTCTGAGCATGCTTGTGCATCCCGTAGTTCTACACCCCTGAATCTTCAGTCTAAGGCTTTTTGTTAATGCAAAAACAAGCTTCATAGCGACCTACGCACTGTTGCAGATTACCCTCTTTGGGGTGGACAACGCCAGGGAAAGTTCACTCGCATGGTCTTTTGTAGCTTGTTTCCCGGTTAATTTGGGAAGGCTCAAAAACAGAAGAGTTAAATCGTTTACAAACATCGTTCAACCCGCTTTCCACGTCAAAGAAGCGGTTATACTTCAGGTGCATGAATCTTGAGCGAAAACGCACACAGTTGCTGCCGAAGTGACCCAGAACTCATTCAGCCCTGCGAAGGCATTTCATCCAACTGTAACTGCGACATAAAAAAACGATTTGCCCCACTTATTGTTAGTGCACAGACAATACCATTTGAGAACTACTTCATCGCATTCACTACGCAAAGAACGTACAAACAAAAGGTAAAAGCACTCTAATAATAGGATAGGAACGTACGTTGAAGATGGCATATTATTGGTAGGTGAAATGGCAGTTATGGGAGCGTCGTGCCCGATCATAAGCTGGTACGGTGTTAGTGCTTCCTCATCACACTTCCATGTGATGACATGGCCACTTGAGGCGCCTGTAAAAAAAACTTATGAAAACAGTGAAACACTAGGAAGTCTAATTTGAAACAAAGCATTATGCACCTGTGACTATAGTAGTTCTATCGCTTAAATATCGAACCACCGTTATTCGATTATCCGGCGGTTTTTGGCCCCAAATAACTACTGGAACCACCAGGCCATTTGTGGTCGCTGGTGGAGGCTCGCCTGAGGCCATCCTAAAAAAGCTCCATCATAAGTCACGTTGAAAATCCGTGCTCCGCAATGTGATACCAGAGGAAGATTGAGATTAATAAGAAGATGCAGAGGCGCACATTCCCCCGTTCACCGCACAGCAGTTTACCTTTGGAGTTCGACCATACTAGAACGAAGATATCACTGTTTTCTGCATGACCCTGCCGCCATTGAACCAACAATCAACACCAGAAGCTTAATCAGTGAGTAATCCATCCTAGAGGTAGTCTAATACAACTTGCAGATGATTTCATACTAAGGATGGTGTCAGAGTCCGCGATCTGTCGCAGGTTTCGCAGATTGGCCGATGTCAGACTTTGCGATTGGAGCGATTTTGCACCAATTGCAGGAGCGACGGATCGCTCCAAAGTGCGAGCGACGGGAGATTTACCCCGCCGACGACCGATACACACGGCGCCGCTCGGGTAAATCTCCCGTCGCTTGCAGTGCGAGCGACGGGAGACGGGAGTTAAATGTGATTCAGAACCAAAAGCAAAGGTTGTACTGGACTATTCGCTGTTTGTTAAAATGTCAGGAGACAAGGCCAGATAAGACTCTTTTATGTTTTCACAACGGTCCGCTAGCAGCTTAATGCACAAACTGGAACTGCACTCGAATGCCACAACGACTGCATCTGAGAGTTGAGTGAGTGGCAATTTCAAGAACGAGACCTTCAGAGTAAATTCTACCACTAACACCGAAGGCTCTAACATTTTTGGGAAACAACTTCGGACTCAAGCGCTGATCCGACCTATCCTCTGCCCATCAGCTCTATTTTCTCCGTCGTCTCAGACCGGAAAGATTCATAGATAACCTGAACAAAATGCTTCACATAAGACAACATCGACTAGCAGTTCGTAGCCGGTGACTATGAGTTTGTTGCAAGTGATAGGCAAAATTCCAAATTTGTTCATCTGAGCGATAGCGTGCCTTCTAAACCGAAAAGAAGAAAAAGGGTACAAAATAAAACATCCTAAGATGACGTTTCGCCACAACACATATGAGAGAGTAGCAAAGATGATCAAAAAGTTAAGGAAATAACATGAAGAGGGGTGGAAAATTTATTAACTAGAGAATGTGCAGAAGAAAATCCGCAGCTAATTATTCGCATTTCTATAGGATCATTCCTTCTGAAACTAGAAGTGGTTTACACGAAATATCGGTTTCCGGGTCTAAACGGTGATTACGTGAAATATTTCACCATTACCACGGGACTGCGTTGGACCAATGACTCCGGCGTACCAGATGAACAACAACATATTCTTCAAGCATGGTTACTACTCACCCCGTCATTCACTTGTCACAAGTTCTTGCTCTCAGTTTGAAGATATACTGCATCCATTTCTAACGTTGACTTCTATATCGTGTAAATAAAAATAAGTGAATAAATAAAGGAAATCAATGATTCTTTGGACTTCCTGCTCCTAGAAATCCCTTTCTCAAAAGTTCCCACGTCTAATCCTTTGAGGGAAATGCACCCCATAGAAAAAGCTTCGCGAGTCAAAATAACTGAGACTTCCACAGCTTCAAGGGTACAGTCGATCAAGTGACTATATTAAAGATTGCCAAAACAATTTCGAATTCATCTTGAACTACACGACAAACTAGAGTGGAGCGACAAGAACCAGCAGAAATTTGGAGCAAAAATACTGCACTCCGATTTGCAGCACTAAAAGCACCAAAAATGGAAAATATCGCTGAATGCAGAGACCATTTAAAAGACCAATAATTCGCAGGGCTTTCCCACTGCCGCTTCGTATTTTGGGCGGAGCACCAGGCGCAGAGGTTGCGAGGTCGTCCAAAACGATAAATTGCAAGCGAAGTCGTCGTCGCCACGTAGGTCGTTGGGTGGCAGCGGCCGCGCGATCAATCCATTCGCGAACTTCTGGAACTCACGGGTTAGTGAGTTCGCATCGATTTAGAGAGTGTGGAAATGGAGATTGCAGAATGGATGAGTGTCGTGGATTCTATGACGACTACGCGAGTCCCGACAAATGCCCCCATCGGGGTTGTAGTTTGCAATCGTTTCCTCGTAAACCAAGAACTACACGACAAACTAGGGTGGAACGACAAGAGCAAGCAGAAATTTGGATAACGGATACGATAATTTGGATACGTACTTATTGACCGAACGATCGCATGATCGCACACCTGGATGAATCAGACAGTCGATACGTATCTACGCCACACTCGATGTGCGATTGCAAACCATAACTGCGGTCTTTTTGTGATTTGCATATGCTACTGTTTTCGAACATCACAGCATATGGAGCATTCCCCGAATGCCATGTTCTCACATGTGTGGCTCATCAAATATGGAGTAAAATCGAAATAGCGTCACAGCGGTGTGGAAGAGAAAAAAACAATGGCGTCTATAGTTAGGGAAAATCGCTGCTCCACACAACTGCTTGAACCTGACTGGTTTCGTTGTCAAATTAACCGATGGTTTTTTAGAAGTCTGCACACAGCCTAATGGCATCCTACAACTTGCAAATTAAATGCTCTAATGCAATGGCCGCGACGCAGCCGCGTGAACTACGGCAACATTCCCTTGAATTTTTGCGGTTCTACGGCTTCTTACTAAATTAAACGAGTGCTAGTGGCATACCTTGATTGTCTCATGTGATTTTTCATCATTCTTGATTTACTGGGCTTATCGAAGCTCGCAACTGCTTAGAATCTCCAACTACAGGCAGTGCAAACGGGATGAAATATCCTGACAATTTGTTCGGATTGACCGCAACGGCAAGACTTGACTCTCATACAGTTGCCTGAGTATGCGATCAGAAAAACTTTTGAAAGGGGAGGGATCGAAAGAGTACCACCTCTTCGCTTCTCTTGGAAACATTCAGAATAAAATTATGCGCAGCTTTCCCCTTTGTTAGCTTCATTAACAGCCATGAATTTGTTAAATGAAACCAAATGGTTAACTGCACGAGAATGCCTATTCATTGCGAATAAAGCGTATATTCCATATATCGAAGTCAGATTAGGCGTGTCTATGGGTTTGACGTGGCGGCCGCCGCACTTGATGGAAGTTGCGCGGATAGCATGCTTTGCTGATATCCAATGGAGTATGTTAGAAACAGCCTATCCCACGGCTTCTATCAAGTGCGGCAACGGCCACGTCAAATCCATAGCCACGCCTAATCTGACTTCGAGATATCGACTGTACACTGTTTTTCTTTCAAGTGCCAGTTTAATGTTGTATTGTCAGGTATTGCCATGGCACTCACGAAGGATTTGAAGTTGCCAAGTGATGAGGAGCTCACAGTACCTCAAGAAATCACCCTCTCCACGCCGTGGCTGAAAGCAGTTGCTCCGTACATGGCAAAACATTGCGAACAAGAAATCAATGTGCGTAAATTTTCTCGTATAATCGTTTTCACAGCATTTCGAAGCATGTGAACTTGCCTAATAATGCTTTGAGCCGAACTGTTCAGAGGTTTCGGACGAGGGCTCGAAGCAAGTTCACAACACCTCCGCTTTTGAGTGTCGTATTGCGCTGTATAGTTAGAACCCCAGGGAATCGTTATATTGCTGTCACTGGCCGATGTCAGACTGCGATTGGAGCGATTTTGCACCAACTGCAGGAGCGACGGATCGCTTGAGCGACTCTTGACTTCGAGTTGGGGTTGGAAATATTGCGCATAAGCCTTTTTTACATCAAACTGGTTCAGCACGTTTTTTCTTCGGATGCACTTTTTTACTGGAGCATGTTCAATTACAAGCCATCATCGGTACAAGTGGTGTATACACTTTGCTTGATTTTTACTTCAGTATGAGTTGTTAATGATATTGGAGAGTGGAACACTTAGTGTTAGGATACATCGAAGCAAGTTTTGGGATACCACACTTCCCTATAGCTTCCCTCTCCCTGCCTCTGACACAATTTTAGTATAAACTCTTGTCTGTACTGATAAATGGAATTATTGGTTGGGATTTTTTTCCAGGAGTTTATGCTTCGACGCAAAGAACTACAAGATCCTCGTGCAACTCTCAAAGAAGGTGAGCACTATTTCAGTTAACTCTTGTGATTAACCGGATTACCACGAGAATTGGGAGAATGAGGACAAGGCTTGACCTCCCAGCTCGTATGATTTTATTCCACTTTCAATCCTTTGTTTAAGTTATCCACTGTTTTTTTATCTGCAATTGCAGTACTGTCCACTCTATTTAAGAACTGCCATTATCATTATTTATTTGCCGTGAATTTTCTTGTTTTCAATCATTTGCACCTTTTTTCGTTTTTGATTCTTCACGAGTTCAGTTAGTCTTATTTGTACTTGTTTTCCGCCTTTTTCTCGTGTGCCTAACTTGACTACTTAACTGCTTAAAGCGAGGGATTACGATAAGATTGGACTGGGTTCATGGTGGAAGTGGGATGCTGAATAATGCCCCAGTGGCGAAAAAAGCAAAGAAATCCGTCAGAACGCGCAAAATGGGACCCCTTTCTTTGCCCGTTGACCTCCGATAATGGACGAGCTAGCAACCAATAAGAGGTCGTTTGCACATGTTAAACCGATAGCCACCATCATACCAGCAAAGGCATGCTTTGATTGATAACGCATTCCATGGGAAAGTTATAGGATACGCACTCAAAGTGGAATACCTCATCAAAATGATAATCGAAGGACGCTGCTGCTGGGGGCGGAGCACAGGCCGTGGCGGAGCTCAGAAAGGAATGGCAAGCCCAGTACGCTGCAACTAGCGCACCTTTGGCCACAAAAACGCAACATTTCGTTTCCTTGGCCCCTGACTACTGCTTCCACTGGTGCATGTACTTCCACGCTGCACGCACACTTATCGTAATCTCTCGCTTTAACTTGCTATCTGTCTTTGATGTTGAAACTACCACTTGCGCTAGGCATTGAGCGTAGATCCGTTTGTCCTACGTAATCTATTCACTTTTTGTAGTGGAACTGGGGTTGCATCACCTAATGTGCACTGCACAGCTATTCGTTATCACATAGTTTCATTTCTTGGAACAATGATTCCTGGAAGGATAGCCTCAAATTCTTACTTAATTTCACATCACGTGTTTGTTACTATAGGACTACCTGTTTAAGGTGCTGCCGTGACCGCTTGCGGGATCAAATTCCTTCAGTCGCTGAAGAAAACCTGCGCCCAGGAGACGGAAAAGCTAGCCAACTGCATTGACCAGGGCAGTGCCAAACTTTATTTAAGCAAGTAAGATCCATGACTCAGTATCCTCTTATTAAAAGCCATACTTCAGTGGTATAGACACCATTTTCCTGCTCACACAGTGCTCGTATGGTAATTTTTTCGAGCTTTTCCTTCCACCTAAAATTGTAGATAAGTTCATTTCACAATTTATTAGCACTGAACGAAATATCGCTTATTGTGGTGCCGTTTCCCTCAAAATCGTAGTTTTATATGTTGATGACGTTAACTGTCTGAAGTTTGGGCCGACTTTTGATGGAACTTTGGTATTAAGCTTCGTTTAATGTTGGTGGGAACGTGGAAATATTTGTGTTTATTTGCGAAGCCTCGAAAGAATCGGAGGATGTGCGAGAAGGCCCTTGTGAATAGTATTTTATTGATTCGAACATCAATCAGTAGAAGTGGAACATCGGATAATAGGGATGCCGCTATCCGGAGAATGGGAGATTCCGCGAAAAGGGTTGATTTTGTACCAATTTGTCGACTTCGCCTTCCCCGCAATCTTGCCCTAAATTTTACGCTTTTCCCTTAGTCCGTGGGCTCTCTACTGAATAAAAAACTGATGAAACTAGGTGTTGAGAAAAATAAAGCATTCGCTTTCTCAATCTGGTCTAGCTGCCTGATCTGGTCATTCAGGTCCCCAATATTTATATCAGGAAATGCGCATCTATTATACTTTTTTTTGCGTTTGTAGACCTTTATTCAGGCAAAATAACGGTACAGTAGTAAAATACGTTCACGAAAGTATCGGTCAGAATGGGACACTTCACCATATTTGGGTTTCCCCGTGAAGGAACTTTCATGGTCAAACTTCTTCAGTAAACAAAATTTAGACTTCCGAAAAGGTCGAGCTTGAATCTCTCGATCGCGTAGGCTTTGAATGGAAACGTGGCGGTGTGAGGAACCTCCAATTCCAATTTTATCAGCATTTTTTGCGGCTACTTCAATTGGCTTGAAGTTGGATACCAGCAGCTTCTAGAGTTTAGTTACCACGTTGCCGACAATGGTCGTTTTGGGAGTTTTCTCCGCGTGGGACCAGAGCGATTTTGCAGGCGCCGCCGCCTCACACCAAATCTGTGGATTTTGAGCTTTAAATACGCAAACTTGGATGCGACAAAATGTTTCCAATGATATTCGATGTGTCAAACTTATTGGAAGGTACACATGTAAAAGTTCGATCGAATGACGTGTTTCTGGCAATGAAAAGGCAAGTTTCAGTTGCTTTTGCTGTAGTGAACCTCAAAATTATTTTTGACGCGGTTGCTCCACTAAAAACATATATCTTGCTATATGTGTAGGTCTGTACTTACTTCTACTGCTCTTTTTATGACCAAGATTATCAGAATATAAAGGAAACTAGGAATGAACACAATTGGGAAATTCGTAGGGCTTGGAAAACCTTCGCTAAAAAGGAGCATATTCAACCATTTGGTGAATCGCCCGTGTCTAATTATACATATGGGTGATCTAGCGAAGTATCTATTGATCCGTTTTCACTATCAAATTCAGAAGAGAATGCATTCGTTGCTGTGTAAAACTATTATTGATGTTGGAGTAATGGCTAATGATGAGAAAATATAAAAAAAGGCACAACAGCCGTCCGTTGTTCTAATTCTAATTCTTCTGGTGATGCCTCTCTGTGCAGGGTATATCTTGTGTTGTTTGATTCACATAGACAGATGGGGAAGTAGAAGATAGTACATAGAGTGCTCAACGGACATATTTCCCCATGGATTTTATCAATGATCCCTCATTCGGGAATGTGAGTGGTGTAATTTCAAAGAACAGTGAATTTGGTTCTAGCGACAGCGCGGCCACGCGCTACAGACCTGCACGCCCTCAGAATATTTTCGCGTAATATCAAAGGGAAGCAGTCCAGATTGCGACGGAGATTGCTCGTTTGATCGCCCCATATAGGGCTGTCGGCACAAGTTTCACCTTTTATGTGTGTTCCACATCTTATATCTTTTTCTTCTTATAATATACAGTGAAAGCTTCAAAACAAAGAGCCTTCATCAAATTATAGTGCGGTCTTTGTACATCCCTCCATCTACGAGTCCAGCATATGTATAGAGAACGTGGTTGGAAAGGGGCGTAAAATTGAAAGCCTTTAACTCAGATGCCGCGACGAGCAAAAAGTGCTGGATGCATGCATCGAGGAGAAACTCCACATAGCTCGCCCGAAGATGGGATACTTCAGCAAACTGCATATCTACGACAGCAAGCAGCCAGCACCAGGTCTGTTTTCTTCAATGATTGTCTTGCTGTTATACTGGAGCAGCTCTCAGTTATATGCTATAACCGGCAGGATATGTCATAGATTCATTGTTATCCATTTGCACCTGTCATCATCAGTTTTCATTTGGCCACTGTGAAGTTGACTAATCATTCTGCTATATTCTCTATATTCACTTGCTCTCTCGATTGTTGGAAAATATTGGCGTGATTAAGGCCTTTCAATTTTGAGAAACAGGGTTATACTCTGAATTCGTAACATATGTGAGACACTTCAGCGAGGGAATGTCGCTTCTGGAGATAAGGTGCTGCACCATGGTCAGAAAAAGGTCATCGCCAACAAATTCGCCAGCCGCGTCCTACCGCGGTCACGTAATCGTGTGCTCAGGTGGCTGTCCGGGTACTACTGCATATGGCCCTGTCCTGGGTGTGCACCTTTAGTCTAAAGTGTAATTATGGGGAAACCACCTCGGACCTACACCTGCTGTGGCCATGACTTCACTTAGGTCCTTCTTGATACGTCCTTCCACCTCTTCTTTGGGGCTCCTCGCGGTCGCTTGCCTTGCGCTTCGAAGTCCATTGCTTTCCTTATTGGGTGGCCCTGTGGCCTCCTTAGCACATGCCCATACCATCGCAGTCGCTGTTCCCGCACCTTCAGCTGGACAGGGGCAGTCTGCATGACCGCTCTGACATCCTCGTTTCTGACCCTGTCCAGTCCAGCCGCAGGCCCATCTCAGCATCCTCATTTCAGCGGAGTGAAGCTGCCTTTCGTGATTCTTGTTCAGGGGCCAGCACTCGCTGCCGTAGAGCATCGCAGGCCTTACCACTGTCCGGTACACCTTCCCTTTGAGCGTTCTGGAGCACCTTCGATCGCAGAGGATTCCAGTGGACTCCCTCCATTTCATCCATGCCGCGTTGATCCTCCCCTTTACTGCCTGATCCACACTGCCGTCGGCTGCCAGATCGCTCCCAAGGTATCGGAAGTCCTCCACTCTTTCGATGCTTTCACCATGGCCGTCCACGATCGGCTCTGCACCCTCTTCGGAGCTCAGGAACTTGGTCTTCTTGACATTCAGCCGGAGCCCACCTTCTGCCAGGACCTTCTGCCATTCTGCACCTTGGCCTGTAGTTCCTCTCTGCTATCCGCTATCAGGGCGATGTCGTCAGCGTAGAGGATGGTCTTTAGTGGTCCTTCCATGAGCCCCTTCACCATGACATCTAGTGTTAGGAGGAAGAGGAACGGGCTCAGAGCTGACCCTTGATGCACCCCAACCGTGATGTTTACCTCTTTTGTTAGGCCATGTGGGGTGCGTATGGCTGCCTTAGCCCCGTCGTACATGTCCTTCACCAGCGAGACCAGGTGTTCTGGCACGTTCCGTTCTCTAAGCGCTCTCCACAGTACCGCTCGTGGTAGCCGGTCGAACGCCTTCTCCAGGTCGAGGAAGGCTAGGTAGCAGGGTCGGCGCTTTTCTCGATACTTCTCCATCACTTGCCTTGCGATGAAGATGGCATCCGTTGTAGACCTTTCGGGCATGAACCCGAACTGTTCCTGGGAGATCGGGACCAGCTCCCGCAGTTTCGAGTCGACCAGTCGCTCGTACAGCTTCATTGTATGAGCAGTCAACTTGATCCCGCGGTAGTTGGAGCAGTCCATCGCGTCACCCTTCTGCTTGAAGATGGGGACGATAGTACTTGTTCTCCAGGCATCTGGCATCCTTCCTTCGCAGTTATGTTGTTGAGGAATCGTGTGAGCCATCTTATCCCGTACTCACCGAGCGCCTTCCAAGCCTCGATTGGCACCCCATCTGGGCCAACCGCCTTCCCAATCTTCATCCTCCCAAGTGCACACCTAACCTCATCCTCAGTCCAGAGTGCGATGGGACCAGCTGTGGCCTCTGCCCGTGAGTTGTTCTCGTGGGGGAACTCCTCGTTCAGAAGTGCACTGTAGTACTCTTCCCACCTCCTCTTGACTTCGGCTGGCTTCCTTAGGATGACACCATCTCTGCCTTTCACACTTTTCACCACCCTGATGTCTTGGGTAGCACGATGCCGGGCCTTAGCCAGCCTGAAGACGAACTTCTCTGCGTTTCTGCTTTCCAACTTCTCGTACAAGGCGTCCATTTCCGTGTTCTTTGCCTTGGCGACGGCAGCCTTAGCGAGCCTCTTGCAACTCTTGTAGGCAGCGAGGTTCTCGGGGCTCCGGGTCTTCTGCCAGCGCTTGTATGCTTCCTTCTTCCTTTCACGACTCGCTGGACCTCCTCGTTCCAGAACCACGCTGCCTTGTCTCCTCTGAATCCACCTCGCGTCTCACCCAGGACCTCCTTGGCACATCGCAGGATGGTCTCAGCCGCGTTGCCCCAAGTCCGCTGTATTGGCCCGTTAGGATCTGGGAGACCGACTTCCATTATCTTTCGCCTGAGGTCATCCTTCTCCGCTTGGTGCAGCTTCCACCACCGGATTCTCCTCTCGGTTCTTACCCTTGTCTTCTTGGGGAGGTCTATCGCAATGTCTGCCAGGAGGGGCCTGTGCTGGGGAGCCAGGTCTTCGCCGGGTAGAACTTTGATATCCTTCACAGTTTTGAGGGTTGATCTTCTCACCAGCACATGGTCAATTTCCGTCTGTCTCCCTCCACTGCTGTAGGTTACCTTTTGAGACTTCCTTTTCGCGAAGAACGTGCTGCAGACTGCCAAGTCGTGGGCCGTAGCCAGGTCCAGAACCCTCTCTCCCTCAGCGTTCCTCGATCCTATCCCTCTACCTCCGTGCACCCTTTCTAGGCCTCTTCTATCACTGCCGACGTGGCCATTCAGATCACCTGCTATGGTCAGGTAATCGCCTTCCGGAACCGATCTTATGGGCTTCGTCCAGGCTCAGATAGAACTCGTCCTTATCACTTTCGGGGCACCCGGCTTGCGGTGCGTACACGGAGAGTATTGACCAGTACCCCTCCTTCGTGTCTATCCTCACAGCCATGATCCGATCGCTGATCCTGTTCACAGCGGAGACATAGTCCTTGAGCGACTCCGCTACCGCTATGGCCACGCCGTTCCGCTTGGTGTCTTCTCCATTGTAGTAGAGCTTGACACCTTCCCCGATTTCCCTGGCCTTAGCACCTTTCCATCGCGTCTCCTGAAGGCATAGGACTTGGATATTCCTGCGCGTCATCAGGTCAGCAACCTCTCGGGACTTCCCAGTTAGCGATCCTACGTTCAGAGTCCCTATTCGAACTAGCTTCTTTGGCCGAGGCCGTTCACTCCTCGGTAGCCCTCGCATACTGACCACAGAACTCGGGCGGGGGTTCTGCGCGCCACTTCCGGGTGACGTCCTAGCTTTATCACTAGGACGTCACCCAGTCACTTGCCTGTGGGAAGACATTGTTAATTACGCTGTGTTGTCTCTGCTGACCTCTTTTTCCTAGACTCAGTATCGATTATTTGACATTCCTGGCAAAAAACATTCCGACTACTACAAAGTTACATGCTAATAATTTCCAAGCATTATGACGTTTTTGGCCTAGAAGCTTCTGAAGTTCCTGTTCTGAAACGCTCATTTGAAAGAAAATTATAAAAAGGAAGAGAAAGGGCTGCTACACGAATATGTAGAATCACCACGTGAGGGTCTGCTCCGAAACAGAGTATTTTGAAAAGCCTTCGTGGAAACTTATCTGTCGCTTGGCCGGGAAAAATTTCAGCGCAATCAACGGACATACAGGGGAGGGGGGGCGAAAAAGAGTCACCCACGGAAACATGGTTCACGGTACGAGCTCAACGAGGTCGTCGAGGTACCATAGACCATTACGACGTCCCTGAACGCTGGTCAAAAGCGGTCTTGCACAGTCACAGCTAGTGTCTCTGAGAAGCTATTCACCAGTTAATCCGATTGAAGAAATTATGTAGCAGCTTCAGGCCGGAGCGATTGCCGGTAAGCCTCGTTTGAGCGCTCGCCGCGTGGACGCACGCGTCGTCAATATTCTGAAGGACGGCTGGGTGGTAGAGGAGCAGGGGCTCGTTTGCGCTTTTGGGCGGGAGGCGCGGAGAGGGCATCTTAAGGAATACGGCCGTAAAATATTCATCAACAACGGCATCCTGTGCGACGAAAAAAACTTGATGATGTGCGTCATGGGCGTAGTGACTCTCCCCCCCCCCCTCCCCCTGTATATTGCCAATACCACTTCATTAGATTGACTCGGCACTAGCCGGCAGGTGGTTTGTAAAGGTTCAAAATGTGCAAGAGTGAGCCGGTGAATTGACAATGCGAAACTATTCGAAATCGTAGTATTGGAAGGAATTGCCATTGCGGTAAAAAAAAAGGAAAGGTGCTTAGGAAAATGGTGGGAAATTCTTTGCTTGAATAATTCTCATCAGTTCTCTACAATAAACATATCCTAATTGAGAAAAATCGCTAAATTGAGAATTCATTCAAAATTGAGTGAACCACCTAGCATAAGCTCTTACATGTTTTGAGAGGGAAATATTCTGATGTCTACGTTATGTGGAGCTTGGAATGTCTGTACGAGGTCAGCAGCCAGCACAGTCAATTAAGTGAGGTCACTCCGCAGGCGATTGCTAGGAGGCATAAGGTGGCAGGTGCGAGGTAGTGATTAAGAGGTCATTTTTGACTAAAGTCCCTCTCCCGCCCTGTCCTCCTTAGAAAAGACTCATCTCAATCTTACCTTTGCTGGGTACCTTCTCTCTGGGTACCGTTGCCTCTTGTATTTCCATAGAATGTTTTGGTTTTCGCCTGGAAACTGTAGCTTTGCCATGTATCGGCTTCCTCCAGTAATAAGTGATCTGTTCATGTTTATATAGCTCTGGGTGATGTAGGCTACTTTTGAGCGAAATAGTGCGGAATATGTTTTATATCATCCTCAATAGGCGTAGAACGACTATCATAAATCCGAATTATGAAACACTTCTTATACTACGAGCACATTTCCGCTCTGCTTGGGCACCTTGTAGGATTTTCTTGTCCTTCGTACTAGGAAACATTATTTTTCACTGTTATAGGTGAAGATAGGTTGCAATTCGTTCACTCCCCAAAAGGATGCCATGAAAATATAGTCCTATTGTATTGGACGCGTTTCGCTTCCGTGCATAATTTATGGAATTTTGAAATTTTGATTTGCAGAAAGAAAGCTGAGAGATTACAAAGCCGAAGCTGCAAAAGTGCTAGCGGAATTACCAGAGGATTACCATTTGCGGCAAGACTACAGGAAGTACAACGATTGGAGATACAACATTTCCGAGAGTTAACTTTTTAAAGCTTAGTGATATACTTTTTAGAGCGTAGCTGGCACTGAATGTTTGTAGGCGTAGACTAATGGTGTGTTGAATGTTCAATATGAGTTCAATTCCAATAAAGATTTTAGCTCAGTTCGTGTGTATGAGTTGTGGTATGCAACCCATCGGTATCGTGCTTGTATCAATGATTATTCGAATTTTTCTCCAAAGAAATGAAATTTTCACCCTCATAGCGCCTTTCCTTACTTGTCGTGTTTTTAGCCTTCTTCGAGTCATCTCCTCTGCTATCTGATTCGCCCTTTCTCACCTCCTTTGGAGTTGCATTGCCACTTACCTGGGGCCGCTGCAGCAAGCTGCGGCTGGTAATGGTGGTATATCTCCATCCCTGGCCGGGCTTGCTGCACACGGCCTCTTAACTTCTTCCCGTTGTTGGGATCTGTTTTTCTCCTCTTTCCAAATTGAGACAGTGTGAACCAACTGTTGCCTTGTGGTCACAGTTGGGTCACATAGCCTGTAAATTTGACATGCTGTACCACGCCTCAGGGATCAGAACCTTTTTTCCTTTCACCTTGATTTCTGTGAAGTTAAATCGAGTTGCCTTTTTTGTTCTCGTTCAAGTCAGTTATTCGGCAGAAGTTTGTGAAAGTAAACTCAACATGCTATTGACGCCCATCATGTCTGGAGTCATTTCTCAGAGTTTTCTGGTATATTCTGTTCCCATTTCAGTGGGTTCAGAATGCGTTTTGGAAGATTTACGCAGGCTGGACTTCTGAAAATGTCTATTAGTTTTACATTAAAGGAATCTTGCGGAGAGTTCTTGCACTCTTTCCTAACATGAATATGTCAGTTGTGATCACTGGAAACAGCACACAAAGTTTCACGCATGAAGATTCAGTTTCCGAAGAGAAAAAAAACTTACCAAAACTCCACTTCATGGACAATCGGAGGTAAAAGGTGCGGAGCCAAAGGAGGCGCGTGAAAGGAAGTCCGCTTCAGGGCAGATATAAAGGCAAGCGAGGCAGGAAAAGAATCGGGTCAAAGGGTGCGATTTTGGAGAGTAGAGACAAATCGATCGATAGAATAGGATGGAGTAGAAGTGTGAGATGTGAATGCAATAAGTCAGAAGGCCAGAAAGAGTTTCTAGTGAAGGCACTCCAAGAACCAAGTGGAAGCATTCCCGTCGCCAGCATTTGTGACAGATGTCGGCGGTACTTTGAACGCGTAGCAGCCCTTTCGATTTTTCGAATTTTTTTTTTTTACCAAAACAAATGCAATTTTTCTGTTCTTTTCATTCTTATCGTGGATGATGAGTCTCAAGCCAGTGATTTATGGCTGAAATAGAATCATGATTTTTCCGTGAAGGCTGGTGTCAGAGTCCGCGATTCGATTTCGCGATTTTCGCGATTTGCGCGATTTTCGCGATTGTCGCGATTTTCGCGATTTGCGCGATTTTCGCGATTGTCGCGATTTTCGCGATTTTCGCGATTTTCGCGATTTTCGCGAAACCTGCGATGGATCACAGGAGTTGGAAGTGCCCGATGAATACTGCGAGGTGTTGTTTAATCCTGCTGCGAATTCTGCTTGGCAGTAAAGATTGGAAGACGAATGTTTGTGGTTCTACTTGTTTCATGTTCAATGTCTATTAGTTCATTGAAATGCTCTTGAATCGTTCCTATTTTTTTTTTTTCAGGAATCAAACCAAACCAATCACAAAAATTGCAAGTGCCCCATTTGAACAATTGAAACACTGGATATGAAACAAGTGGAATCATGAGCAGTCTCCATTAAACCATAACCATCAAGCAGAAGTGACGGCGGGATTGGAGAACACCTTGCAGTATGGATGGGGCACTTGTAATTTCCGTGACCCGTCGCGCAAATCGCGAAAATCGCGCAAATCGCGAAAATCGCGAAAATCGCGAAATCGCGAAAATCGCGACAATCGCGAAAATCGCGCAAATCGCGAAAATCGCGAAAATCGCGCAATCGCGAAAATCGCGAAAATCGCGCAAAAAATCGCGGACTCTGACACCAGCCTAGGGATTCCTGTAATTTATGTATACTCGAAAGGCCACCTAGTTCGGTGGCATTACATTTTTTACTCTTTTGGAAAGCTCAGATGGCTCTTAGTGATTTCTTAACACGTTGACGACAGCGTGACGCGGTAACGCGTCCCACTTTGCGCACCTCGTGGGACATTGTGACGCGGTAACGCGTCCCACCCAAGTCATCCCTTTTTCTTGCGCTTGTGCGACTTATTCCTAAGGTCTTTGTACTCATTCTATAGGCCATACATTAGCATACTTAAAAACCACATGGCTCACAGAAAGGCCAAATATTCTTTAGTTTGGCAGAGGTTTTCCAGACCTTACGGATATGTCTGTTCAGTTCATTCCTCGTTTTCTTTTCATTAACGTAACATGTTGATAAAAAGGAATAATAGAAGTGAATACAAACCTATTCGTATGGGAAGATATGTGTTTTTACTGAAACAACCACGTCCAAATTAATTTTGGAACCACTAAAGGGAAAGTAAGTAAAATTTGCCTTTTCATGGCCTTAACACGTCATTTCGGTCGAACTTCCATTACTGTAACTCCCGATAAGTTAGACAGATCGAACATTATTGAAAACACTTCATCGCATCTAAGTATTGCGTATTTACAGCTCAAAATCCATGGATTTGGTGTGCGGCGGCGCTCGCAAAATCGCTCGTCCCACGCGGTGCAAAAACAACCAAAACGCGCGATGTCGTCAACGTGTTTAACACATACGTGGTTTATGATGGTGTCTCTTCCACCTGCTCACGAGCTCCAGTGGTGCAGTCACTTCTC